CAGAGGAGGAGGAGGAGGAGGAGTAGGAGGCAGGAGTCGGCATGAAAGACTCTGAAACTCTGCCTGCACTGAGGAGGCCTTTGCTGCAAAGCATAACTTCTTTTGTGCCCTTTTGTTTGCCTTTCCTTTAATAGCAAGGCTTTTCTAGCAAATCAATGCTGTTATACAACAGGTAGTCAGAGAGCTCCCCCCTCCTGCCAACAGCAGCTCCCTGCTGCATTAGCTGCTGCTGCTGCTACTTATATATTTTCATTCTACGTTTTCCAGCAGAATTATATAAGCCCAAGATTCTGTCCAGAGATTATTGTGGAACTGGCAAAACATGAAAACTGGAAGGAATTTTTCAGAGACAAATGTTTATTTATCTACATCTGAACATGGCTAACTGGAGGCAAATTACAGCTTCTGGACTAAGTTCTTGGAAAACAGAAAATAACCTAATACCAAAATACCGGCTCCCATTGATTGGATGCAGCTTGTACACTCTGATTACCCAGAAGGCAGCACAAGAGTCAAACCCGTACATGGTTTCCATCACCGTGGACTGAAGTGAGAGCTTCACCCTGCGACTCAAAGAGGCCCAAACTCAGTCTGTGGTTTGTCTCGTCCACTGACTGACAGCTAAACAGCTGCTGCTGTGCTTAACCACAACAGCCCTCAGAACAAAGTGCCTCAAGTGCAAGATTTAATACATGCTCCCTGAGCTGAGGGTGGACCATCTGAGTGGGTAAATCCTTTCTCCCCAGAGAACCCACAGCCTGAAGGGCAATAACCCAACACAAACACCAGCCAGTTGTTAAGAAGACAAAAACTCTGCAGTGCTCGTGTCAAATTGGTAGTTTTTGTCTTTTTTGTGGGTGTTTTTTGCAGACTGCTGGCCACTATGTTAGCAGGCTGATAAGAACCAATATCAACAAATCACTGCTATTCCAAGCATTAGTGTGAATCTTGACTGATGCAAACAGGAATCCTTATTTTTTTTGCTTCAGGTTGTAAAGCAGCATCGTTTTTTTGTGTGCATTAAAGCAAGCAGCACAACATCTACAGACACAATGATTATCATGCTTCAAACAGCGTAACATGAGGAGTCAGTTGGAGTCGAGCAACCTGACAAATGTCCAGTTGTTGCTGTCCTGTTATGTCTCTGCTCAGGGCTGGAATACCTGTCTTTTTCCTGCTATTGCAAACGCTTCATTATCTTCCCCAATTAGTCTCGGTGCTGTTTGGTGTGTTGCCGGTGACACACAGTCAGTGTATCAAAGCGTTTCTACTAGAAGGAGCTGCCCATTGCTGCTGCTTCAGAGAACGCTTTGTGCCAAAAACCAACGCTGGGATCCAACAACAGCGCCGTGGTGCTGAGAGATGCTGAGAGATGCTCCCTCTGCACGTTGGTTACTACAAGAACTGCATGACACACACAGTTTGATCCATTGTTGCTACAAAAATATTGATTAGAGCTGTTTTATATTAATTAGTTGAACACCCACACTTCATCATTTCATATTTGACTGTCATTCATATTTACTGTTTGCCTGCTGGATAGTAAAGTTAACGGCTTCAATGAACACAGTCAGTAGGTATCCACAGTAGATGTAACACGAGACATAAAAACCAGCCTCAAAATAAAGGTTTGGCCAAATGACAAAAGCCAGTTCTTCCATATTACACCTTCTATTCTGAGTGCATAAGTGTGTTCACGCTGACAACTAGCTCCATGCAGTGTACTACGAGAACCTACATAGTGTACTCATAACAGGCTAAAAGCTGAGTGTGAAACGTTGGAGACTTGCCACATTCGGTGGTCGGCATCTTGACTGCGTACCGAGCAGTAGGTGCCATCAATCACTTGTCAAATTTGCAAAAATGGCAGCAAGGAAGTCGTTGTTGGAACAGCGCACACAAGGTAAGGTACCACTATACCAGGGCTGTCCAATCCTGGTCCTCGAGGGCCACAATCCTGCATGTTTTAGATGTTTCCAACACACCGGATTCAAATGATCAGCTCATCATCAAGCTCTGCAGAAGCCTGATAACCATCCTGATAATTTGAATCAGGTGTGTTGGAAGAGGGACACATCTAAAACATGCAGGACTGTGGCCCTCGAGGACCAGGATTGGACACCCCTGCACTATGCTGTACTGTCATCGGTATGTTATTGTGTTCATTTATCAGTCTGTAATGCTTTAAAGGCTTCAACAAACACAAAGCTGCTAGATGTTTGGGCAGGAGAGTCTACCTATGCCTGTTATGGTCCCATGGTGTTTGTGCTGTTTTGCGATGTGGACTTGTGACCATTGTGTGTGGAGGTGACCCATGTAGGCCCAGTTGTGTCTCCAGGACACCAGCTGCCAGTCATCTCAGCTAATCAGCCCGGAGCTGAAGACCTAAACTTGTTCTCCCCGCCTCTGGTCACATCTGATTGGACCACCAACACTCCAACAATCACCACACTTGGCTATAAAAGCAACCAGCAACCGTTCAGTCGGGGTTGGCAGGGATTTAGTGTCAACAGTCCGACCTGGTGCCTCTCGGTTTGTGTCTTGTGTGTTTTTGGTAACGTAACTTCTGTTGGCAGCAGCTAACTCAGTGTGGAAGTTTCATGAGAGTCTTAGTGAAGACTGACTCCTGTTAGCAGCTGCTAGACTTCGTGAAGAAGTTACTCGTGTCTTGTGTTTTTCATATTGTGTGTTTTGAGGCACTAGTTTGTTGTAGTTTCTTTTGTCGTGTGGATGTTACTGTTAGATTTAAAGCTTGGCTAAGGAGTTTAGTTTTGTTTTCTGTTAGCGAGCTTCGACACTCTGTTAGCCTTCGTTTGGTTATATTTGGTTCTTTGACTTGTAGCAACATCCACTCGCTTCTTTTCTATGGTCACAGTTCTGTTCTGTTCATTTACTGAGAAATAAATTGCATTACCTGAACCACTTCCATCTGGTTTTTGTTGCATCCAGCTGACCCTAGAGGCTGGATCGTACCAATACAGAGGAAAATATTCTGAGTGTAAACAGCCGAGAACATGAACAGTTTTATGTCCTAAACAATGACCAGACCTCAAACAAACAGCAATCATGAGTTTTCTGTGCTCACAGTATTGATCCAGTTTTTCTAAACAAATTGATAAATACAAACACTTTAAGTTCTCCACAAAGAAACAACGATCAACTCGCCAGTGTTGGTATTGATGACACAAACATGACGTTCTCTCAGGGCACCACTCATCTATTCCACCAAAATGGAAATACGCAACTCAGTGCAACACCCAGAGGACCCTGACTGCTGGGTCACATGATCCCAGCAAAACACGCACGCACACACACACACACACACACACACACACACACACACACACACACACACACGACTGTATAAAAGCCTGCGACTCTGAAAGGTGAAGCCTTCATAAGCCTGCATTCTTCGTAACGGCCAGTAGGGGGCGACTCCACTGTTTGTAAAAAGAAGTCAGATTGTATTGACGCCTATTAGAAAGTGAGCCTCTTTCTTACTTGATTTATTAGCTCAACAAACACTTTTCTAATGAGTTTATGGTCTCAAGTCCTCTTCAACACAGCAGGAGGTTCGTTTTGCAAATGATGCTCTCATTTACAGTCCCATAGCTGATAAAGCAGGGACGCATGAAAGTAACAGTTTGTTTGTCTGGAATTGCCTCGTTCAGCATTCAGCTGTGCTAATAGACACTCTAAAGAGCCGTCTGATAGTTTATTTCATAAAAACATTTTTGTTTTAAACTAATGTTTCACTACTCGAAACTAGCGTAACATTTAATATCACAGTTAAAGTAAAAAATGTCCTCAATTGAATGAATAAATAAATAGCCGCTAGAAACTGTTAAAACTGAAGAATTGTTATTTGAACTGTCTAACAGTCTTTTCATCTGCAGCATTAAGTTCTGTTAATAAAGTTAACTCAGCTCAAAATCATGATACTTTATAAAAATCATTTTATTCTATGTCTTATTTTAAAAAACACCAAAATAAACCCTTCGCAGTAACCAGATTCTTTAATATATATCTATAAACTAATCTGAAGCTATGACCAACCATGTTTGGTTGGACTCGGCTGATGTGCAGGGTGGGTTTACACAGAGCAGACAGGATACAGGTATGAAAATAAACTCAACATTTAGGTAGTCAAATAACTCCCGTATGCACAGTTACCTTTTTTCCAGCATTACCAACACGTGTGGTCAAAATGTTCTACACGTTGACTCCAGCTTTTATTTTTATTTGTAACATAAATAATCAAAGAAATTCAACTTTCAGTTTCTCGTTTTTTATGATTAATAACATTAGAACTGTATTAAAGAACACTTCTGGGAGCTGCTGTTGTCCAGTTTCCTTCAAAAGTCAGGACTTTATGTTGCAGTAAAAAACTGAACCCACAGTGGGTGTTATTTGGTTTTACACACGAATCTAATGACTGCTGACGAGGTGAAAACGTGAACGCGTGCTTCCTTGTAAGCACAAAGGTAGATGTTGGTCAGCCTGTCATCAGCCTTGATTATGTGGGTGTTTGATGAGGATAAAATTAGGCCCGCTGCAGCACAACGCACATCCCGGCAACAATGAGAATCAAGTCTTTCTCTTTTTTTCCCTCTACTTTTCCATTACGTCCTGCTCTCTTGCAGGATATTAACGTTATAGATCGAGCTTCTCCGCCGTTCTACTTAGTTTTTTAAGAGCTGCTCTGCTGCCGAGGCGCCTCTGGTGACTCGTCTCACTGCAAAACAAACGATCGCCAAAGTCTGCACATGCAATCAAACACTTGTACGCACACACACCTCTTTACCAAAGGCTGTTACCTTGATGATTAAGTGGGCTGGTGTCAAGACTCCACGATGCTCGAGGATTTACAAAGATGAATAGATGCAGGTTTGGTCTAAATAAATTCTGTCACCTGCCCCAAGTGTTCCATCAGCGCTTCCCTTCTTGTCGCTCACATCGTTTTCACATCACTCCATCAGAGCTTTCATTCACAAACTTACATCTCTGATGAAGTGTTCCAGCGTCGCGTAGGCGATGGCGATCCCATCGTGGGTGCTCGTGCCGCGTCCCAGCTCGTCAAGGATGACCAACGAACGCTCCGTCGCGCGGGAAATGATCTCCGAAGCCTCCGTCAGCTCCTCCATGAACGTACTGCGTCCTTTATAGATGTTGTCTGAAGCCCCCATCCTGATCCGACAGAAAGAAAAGGTCAGAAGGTCAGAAGGTCAGAAGGAAAGGCAGGAGAGAAGTACGTCCCTATCAGAGGACATCATGTCAGTTCAGTCCATTATAGAGTCGTGCATTTTTGCTTTGTGCATGCAAGTGATTGTGTAAAAGTGAAAAAGTGCAAGGGACCGACTTCACTGCTCCACTTGACAGCACTAACAACAAACGTTTACCTGTATATGTAATGACTTCAGGAAAAATAGTAAATCTGGAGTCATTCATCACAGCTCTGCAGTAACAGTTTGGTCTGTTTTTTAATCTTTTCTTTACAGGAAGGCGACTGTGAGCTGACATCACGCTCACAAACTGATTTAGTAAAATATAATGTTACTGAGCCCAGGCTGGAGCTTTAAAAAAGACAAAATTTGTCATTTATGAGAAGAAACAATAAAAACTGAAAGAACTGTCAGATTTTCAACTGTCTAACA